CTCATATGTTTCATATGTTTGTTGTTGTTCGATTTATCATCTACGGGTTTATATCGAATTAATTTGATGGCCTGCTCCCAGTTGGCTTGTTAGCTCAATTGGTAGAGCGCTGCACTAGTATCGCAGAGGTCAGTGGTTCGAATCCCGTACAGGCCTGAAATTTTTTTCAGGTCTGATTTCCACTATTGCTCAAATAGTGCTTTACTGCGAAGGATCGTTCTTATATACGTCTCATAACCGCAGTTCACTCATATGTTTCATATGTTTGTTGTTGTTCGATTTATCATCTACGGGTTTATATCGAATTAATTTGATGGCCTGCTCCCAGTTGGCTTGTTAGCTCAATTGGTAGAGCGCTGCACTAGTATNGATGGACGTGACGGAGCCAAAGGAGAACGAGGACGTCTAAGAAAGACTGGACCCCAAGGACTCCCTGGCCTTCAAGGAAACAAATGTTCGAAGGGAGAGGCTGGTGTCCAAGGTCCTACAGGCCAAAAGGGACAGCGAGGGGAGAAAGGCGAGAGTGGAAATCCAGGGTCGTCTCAGCTCTCCTCTCATATGAACTGGAAAGAATGTTCATGGAAGAGAGGCGACGGCAAAGACTCTGGTGTAATCCAAGTAAGAGAAACAAAACAGATAATGATCTTTGTAAGTTTTGTCTTCTGCATGAGAAGTTAGTGACGACAAAAAAGCAGAATTTTCTCAATTAGCAAAGAGTAACTAGGACCAAGTGGTTTATCAATGGATTTGTGACAATTTTACTCCTAATCATTGAATTGTTTGTTTTGAGGACGGTTTTTGGGTTTCAATGTAAGTCTCCCTTTTTTGTGGCTAAAGATGAATAGGTACAAGACAATTTAACTCTTGGATTTTACAACAATATTTACACGTCAAAATTATCTTCTCTGCACAGAACTGCGAGTTTATGAAGAACTTTACAGACGCTTCCATCCATGTCTAATTTGCTGGTACTCTCAGGATTTATGGATGTAACTCCTGCTGTAGTCATTGGTATTTCACTTTCAATGGCGCCGAGTGCAGCTCTCCTGGCTCGATCGACGGTGCTTTCTACATGCAAACTGGGAAGAACCACGATCTTCATCGTCACCGCCATATTGAAGGTCACTGTAACAACATTCACAGGGGGAAAGGTGCGAGTGGGATTCTGGGTTGGAAAGTGTTCTACTGTTAGGAAGAGTGCTGACGCGTACACAGGCTGGCCACGATGTCCCGGATCTTAATCCAGGACGTGCCAAAGGCTCAACATTAACACTTCACACAAGATTCACCGGACTTTTTAGATGAATTAAAAGAAAACAGCTTTGGGACTTCTAGGAAAACTATACAGGAATGCCATGCCTGTGAAAGATTTAAATCTTGAGAAATAAAGTCCAGGAAAGTAGCCAAATATCATTAACATATCAAGCATCCATTATTTTCCAACAAGTAATTCGCAAGGAGCATTTTTCTTCCTCGTCCATTTGGTGCTTCTTAAATAATCTTATTGACCAAGTCAGAGTGAAAGTAGAGTTTTTCTTAAGCTTAAGTGCAAAGCCCTTGAAATCCTTTTGCAGAATAACCACGTAACCGAATCCTTTAAAATTCCCCCAATATTCGTGATGGCTTTTCGGTTGAAGTTGGACTCGCAAAACAAAAACTCGAAAATGTGTTTAGGCATGGACGAAGTTTGCCCTTTTTACAAGTACAAACGCGACATTTAGGATAATACGTCGGCCGGGAAACTAATTACAATTGTATCCATTACGAGCGTACGTAAGAATGCTAAGTACACAGCCGTTGGCTAATTGTCACCTTTTTCTTCAAACTTTCTAACCGTAATTCCAAAGATATCGTCATCATATGTAGAGGATGCTTCCAATCTTTTCTGATAAATGAATTAACTCTTCATTTTCTTCCAAAAAAAATTCAGACAACAAAGTAAGTAAAAATTGTGTTCGGTAGAAAAATATCCTTTAAGACGAATAATAAAAAGCATTTGATTCGAAGAGTGCTACAAAATCCCGTGATAAGTGACACATCGAGTCTATGCTATAAAATTCTTCATGTATATGTGCACGATCCTTCGCAGTAAAGCACTATTTAAGCAATAGTGACAATAGACCTGAAAAAAAAAAAAAATAATTCAGCGCTCTACCAATTGAGCTAACAAGCCAACTGGGAGCAGGCCATCAAATTAATTCGATATAAACCCGTAGATGATAAATCGAACAACAACAATAGTGCTTTACTGCGAAGGATCGTTCTTATATACGTCTCATAACCGCAGTTCACTCATATGTTTCATATGTTTGTTGTTGTTCGAATAGGGATATTGTTAGCAACTGTGTTTAGATACAGCCGGATACAGTTCAGATGAAAATAAAAACTGGAAACTGACCTCGTAGACACGAAGTGCCATAGCCCTCAGGAATTTTTGGTCCACTAAAAGTAACTTTCACCCATCCTGCCCCCAAAGAAGTTCGCCCGTCCTAAATCCTACCGGCTAGAGGTACGCCCGAGGAGCACTAGTGACGAGTTTCCGAGTCACGCGAGTATCATTATCAGAAACAACCTCGTTTCCAGGGTCTCTCATCTTCCCGCCCCCTGCTGATTCAACAGGATTTTAGTTTTCGAGATTTCCTGGAAACAACGGCCGGAAATCTTTGAGAGATGGAACTTAATGTTACCACCTTGGATAAAATGGAAATATCTATTTATAAGTATTTTAAAAATTAACGTAGTTCTGCTTTAATGCGAGCCAAGAAAATTTAATCACTCGCTCTTTATTGGCTTCAGGTCGTTCCTCTGCGCATGATCATAATGGTAAAAAAGATGTTGTTTTACAAGAGCCAGCTTTATGAAGCTACATCACTCTTTTTAGCGCCCGAAATTGAGAGGAAGGTAACCAATCTTTTCTCTCCTTGTTGCCTTTCACTGTCAAAATGCACCATTGCGCAAACAGGAATATTACAGTAAAATCCGACATTTTGAAGATAAGAAGGTTGAAAGCCATGAAAAGCTGCAAACAGATTAGAAAAAATGTTATGGTAAACAATGAATACTCTTCGCTAGAAGCGTCTAGACTGAATAAACAAAAGAAAAATGCTCCCACTCAAACGCTCACTACAAGGTTGTCCGATCAACAGTTAAATAAATCCTGACTTTCTTTTTTTTCTTCTCACTCAGGTGTGAACACAGACATGGGTGTTGTGGACGCATATCAACACATGGCCCCCATGATCGACGCAGTGACCTACTTGCAGTGGCTTTACAAACAGTGTCGTGAGAAAGGCTGTCGCTTTGTACACGATGAGATTCATGGATTGTTGAGGGATCGGGCAGAAGACTTGAAAAATAAATACAAAGCTCAGTTAATCTTTAACTGCCCAGGAATCAATGCAAAAGAACTGGCAGGAGATGAAGATGTTTACCCTCTGAGAGGTAAATACGACTCGTGAAGCGTTGTGATATGTTTAAGAGAGTTCTGTCTCTTACATACATTTACCTGATTGCAAAAGAAATGTGTTGAATCCGAACTTTACACCTTAAAATCTCTCTCGTTGTAGGGGTGATTCTTAAAGTAAAAAACGACGGAAATTTGATGTCTAAACTCAACCACCCCATGTGCGTCTCTGTAATCAAGGAGTTTGATGAGTCAGGTAAGTAAAGACAAAGCTCTCGGTTCTCATTTTACCGAGAGGCGACGGCAAACTGTGGCTGGGTGGAATGGTTCAACCTCATCAGTGGGAGAGAGATCTGACGCTCGACTATCCAGCAATCAGAAGAATGTTTGAGAAAGTAAAGCAGTTCTACCCACCCCTCCGTAACTATGGTGACGATGATGTAGAACAAGTGTTGGTATGCCTGCGTCCTGCTCGCAAAGCCAATGCTCGTTTTGAGTGGGATCCTGTGTGTCCTTCTCTTTTGGACGACTATGGGAATGGGGGCTCGAGTGTGACTTTCTCGTGGGGCTGTGCTATTGAAACGAGCGCTATGGTGAATCGTGTTCTTAAAAGAGGCCACAGATTCTGTATTCAAAACTTTAATCCTTCGAATATTCTCCCTTTTAAAGCTTGAAAAATCTTCCTTTAAAACAACAAATGATTTATTAGAAAAAATTTCAACCATTATATTTATTATTTAGCTGTGTATGCAAGTTAAGACTGGCAACAACTTAAATTTTATGGTTGAAATAGCAAACAACCATACAATATACAATAATTTGTTGATATTCGATAATAATAATAATTGTCATAAAGATCTTTGAGGTACTTAAATTTTCTTTTTATCATGTGAGCGTGTTCTGTGCCTCATTAGTTTATTCCGAGAACTGATCTATTTTTTCCGAGGGTTTCGAGTGGATAACTAAACCATTCTTTAATTTTTGCCTTGTCAAGAGATTCAAGTGTCCTTAAGTAGTTCGACATGTGAAACATGCCAAGATTTTCTTGGCATTTTTAAAATTCGTTAAATAGAATCATTTAACCATGAGACTTGCACTAGAAGAAGATTTAGTATGCTCGCGTTGCTTCATCTAGTCTTTACACAACGATATCTCTAAAAAAAATTATGTTTTACGTTCTAAGCACATTTTATTCAAGAATAAAATGATGTTTATTTTAATAGTGTCTTCAATACTATGCATGCATTTTGATTAGCTGTCTCAGCATTCTTAAATCTTCCCTGTAATGAAGTTGAGAAACAAGAGCCCATCATAGATTTGTTGAGGTTACAACACGCCCAAACCAGCTTCATCCTCCTTTGGGTGGCCTTTCGTGTCCTGAAGACATCTGCCCTTCTACAGGATATCCTTTGCCTCCTTCCTTGACTTCTTGTGGCACAGATAAAAACGGTGAACCTGCGTACTTAATCTTTATCTAACCCCTGTTCAATGATTCCTGTCCTATTGTGTCGCTGTTCAAGATTGCCAGCGAGTTGAAAATCTTGTAAAGTTTGCTCTTTTCAGTTACGTTGTCATGGTAACAAATCCCAGACAAAGATGGCGACGATTATCTAACGAATAAGTAGGGCAAAGTTGTCGCTAACAATGAAGTTTTGGGCTCAGATTGTAAAAAAACTCACCTAATAGAATAATAACTCGACATATTCTTTGTGTTTCAATCCTCGCCAGTATGGATGACACACGCATTGAGTGGATGAGAAACAAGATTTACCTCGGACTGGGAATTACAGACCCTGAAGTGTTCGACGATTTGTTGTCTCGAGAAGATGGACAATTTGAAAACGAAATCCTAAAATTTCTTAATGAAACTCCTAAGGAAGGATGTACTATGTTATTTTATTCTATGCTGAAGGAAGAAGAGGAGGAAATTGAAGTTGAAGCAGGTTAGTAATTGAAGATGGGATTGTTGTTTGTGCGCCATTCTCTATCACAACAAGGCCTTGAAAGGGATCTGTTATTGTCAAGGATTAGCGACTTGTTGAGATTTATTGTACGCGCAGTAAGTTTTGACATAGATCGTTTAACGACATGAGAATTTTCTTCTCTAAGAAACGAAACTTGATGATGTGTACGGTTACTCGAGGTCGATTCCATTAATATTCCCGCCGTTTTGAAATATAAGCTGACACTGTTTGTTATTAACTGACCTTTCTGGAAAATGCAAGAGTCCTACAACCTCAGACTTTATAATGTGAAATCTGTTTATATTACACAACCTTAATTGAGCTACTTGATTTATTACGCCTTTAGTAATGTTGTTTGACAAAGTCGGTTGGTACGTACGAGTAATCTCTTCGTCAACTCAGTTCCTACCTTGAATAAGAATACTTAGAAGAGTTAATTTTATCAAGAGATCTTTACACTCTTGTAGGAAAAATTGCTTAAAATCCTTAAGAGAACTGAACATTAATGATAATGAACAGTGGAATACAAACTCAACTGCCATTGTAGCATCAGAGCAAACTTTCCATAGTTATGGTTTGTTGTCGTCTTTGATATGCCTGTCATTGATTAAAGCTCTGATCAAAACAGATTATTTTTACAGTGAAAGTGTATTGATTAATTACACAATTTTCATGTTAAATTATATTGTTAGAACCAGAATTGCCAGAAATAACAGCCGATGCTGACGAAGAAGGTGAGAAGACCTCAACAAGTGGTGCTGAAGGTACTGCTGAGGGTGATGACTTGATTATGGAGAGAGTTCCATCTGCAAATTCAAAGGCTGTTGAGGAAGTTTCTGTCAAGGATGGTTCACAGGATGCAGAACCAGCCCAGACTAATCCAGAGACTGGGGAGGAGGTTGCAACAGCTTCAGGCGAGGGAGAAGGTGAAGGAGCAGAGTTAGGAGAGGAAAATCATGCCACACCTCTACCCCTCAGAACAGTAAGTTTGCTTTGGATAAGTTGAAATTCAAAATTATTTTCATGTGAAAATGATTTTTGAACTATGTACTAACTTGATATGATTTCTCCTTGGTTATAATTGTTTCCCAAATATATATAACTTAGAACAAAGTTTGACCAACAAACAATTATGTTTCCTAAATGAGAAATAGCCTGTCAATCATTGCCTTTTAATTAATTGCAGAAAATCATCATACAGAAAGTTCTGAGAACAGTCATGTATGTTTGCTATGAGCACCTTCCTGAAGAGTTTGCAGATGAGAATGCCTTCTACTTTTTACGGAATACAACCGGTCCTGTTTCTCTGCCATCAACACTCGAGGAAGCAGAAGAAATGCTTCCTCCTCTATTTGAGTTTGGATCACATAATGGACCCTCACTACAGATGTTGGAGCACCTTTTAACACTGGTGTATATGCCTCTTCTGTCGCACAATGGTCAGCGGAATGAGTCTTCTTCAGATAATGGGAGTCATAAGAGTAGTGCTCAGATTGGTGATGAACAGAGTTCAGAGGAAGGCCGATCAAGGGTTATCTTAAGAGATGAATTCCTTATGAACATGCAGAAATTTTCATCTCATATCAGCAGGACAATCCATCAGTTGGAGGGTGACATTCGTCTGGAAATGCCTGATGTCATTCTGGGCGATGACATTGCAGAGATGGCAAAAGACTTGGAACTAGTAACAATGCTGGAAGAAACACTGCACAACTGGGAAGTGACAATTTCATCAGCATTAGAGGTCCAGCTAAAGAAAACACCACAGGGAAATGGGCCCTTGGCTGAGATTGATTTTTGGAGAGAGAGAAATGCTACAGTTAGTGCTATTACAGAGCAGCTCAAACTGCCAACTGTTAACAAAGTTGTTGCTCTCTTAACAAACCTTCACTCTGAAAGCCTTGCTAGTTTTGAGTATCATCGAGCAGAACTCACAAAATATTACACAGAAGCTAAAGACAATGTGCGATTTCTTTCTACCCTTGAAAGGCATTTTAAAAACCTGGCACATGGTGCAAGTTTTAATATAGTCCTTGAAACAATACCTTCTATGATGAATGCTTTGAGGATGGTGTGGATTATTTCACGACATTACAACAGAGATGAGAGAATGGTGCCTTTAATGGAAAGAATTGCATGGGAACTTAGTGAGCGGGTGGCCAAGATTGTCAATGTTCGCACTATTTTCAAGTGAGTATTACTACGTAATCATTAAACTGTTCTTCAAGTACATAATCATAATTGCCCTTTTGATACATCAGTAATAGGGAACATGTGTAGGGAAGTGGTGAGGGCAGTTGCTGTTCCACCACTGCATCTTGTTGGGTTATGTTTCATTTCATGCTTCTTCTTATTCTTGCTCAGAGGAGAGTGTTAACTGTGCATGAAAAGCAACCCCTTTGATGTTCCTTGGGTGAAGTCTGGTTCAATTTTTTAATGAAAAAAAGGGTGTGTACACCTTCCTGATTTAAGAACTTTTTATCAATTATTAAAAGACCATGGTGAAATGAGGTCAGCAACTGCAGCATTAACACTTCTATTTATTTATTAATTTATTTAAAGATTTGCCCTCTAATTACAATGTATGGGTAGTACTTTCTAGTAATAATGTCCCCTGCAAGATTTTACTACCAGCCCAGCTTTATGGTAATAATAATATTTTAAAAACAAACAAAAACAAAACCTTCCCCCATCAACCAAAATTAAATAAGTTAATTGTCAAAGTCTAATTTTAAATGAAATCTCTCCTTTTAGAGAGCCACCCTTCCTCGTGAAGCAAAAAACCTCAGAGGCCAAGAAGACACTGGAAACATGGAAGGAGTCATACTTTGATGTGCGAGCCAAGATAGAGGCTTCAGGAAGAGATGCCAGATGGGAGTTTGACCGAAAACGTTTGTTTGAGAGAACAGATCATATGGCTTCAATCTGTGAAGATTTGAAGGAGGTTGCAACAGTGATGGAAGAGTTCTATAATATCTTTGGACCTGAACTGAAGGCGGTGACCGGGGATCCCAAACGTATTGAGGATGTTTTGAAGCGAGTTGATGGACTGGTGAAACCCATTGAAAATGTAAGCTTAATTTATACTGCTTTATGATGTTGTGTCCTCTGGTGACTAATGTGCTGAGCTTTGAGTTCCAAGTGTAACCTTGTCAGTTTGGTTGCTGTTGTATGTTGGTCGTTGATGACTTTGTAGTGAGGGGGAAGGGGGAAGTTAGGGTGGCTCTAAAGGCTTGAGTAGCCTTCTTTTCAGAGTATACTCAACCAAAATGCTTTCTGGGCCCTGTTCAGCCTTCTGTTCCCAGACACATTTTGTCTTAGTGTTAAACATTAAAACCAAATTAAGAACAATACATGCCTAACCAGAACAATGATAATTATAACTAAATGTAGGAGGCAAGGAGAAGTCAATTAGGTAATGGATCAATGGCGTAAAGTATTGAAAATTGAAAAATCAAGTCATACTTGCCTTCAGTCTTGCTTCTGATCAGTTGAGAGGGTGATATTGGGTTTCTAGACCAATCAAAGAGTGAGGGAAAGCAAAACCTTTGAAACTCTTGAATTAGATTTTGATTTTTTAACCTAATTAACAATGAAATTTGTGTATTATGAATATATATAGTCCTGCTGATGACAGAATTTGTATTAACTGCACCTGGTGAGCTGAATTGGTTAGAGTGTCGGATTGTGTTGTGCAGGAGGTCGGGAGGTCGAGGGTTCGAGCCCCGGCTGGACCAATACTCATGGTCTTAAAATAATTGAGGGGAATTTGCTACCTTTCTATAATATCAAGAAATGGATAGATATTCTAGTCTTCTCAGTTAAGGACAAATAAAACCGTAGGTCCTGTCTCCTGCAGGGTTAGGGGTAGGGGATATTAATTTCCCACGCACGAGATTACTGTGTGGTGGATGTCCTCCCTGGGGTGGGATGGTGGGTGCAAAGGGGTTAGGTGTCAATTGGGATGAAAGTTCTGTTCCTTTCTCCTGCCATTCCCGTGGCGAACAAATTAGATTCCTTAATTCTTAGTTCTTAAAAACTGGAATCACCATAGATAGTCCTTTCTATAGGCCCCACAGTCTTACTTTGCTAATTTTTTACTATTTATTATTCTTTTTGTATATTTGTGGCAAACTAATGAAATGAAACTAGACTGACATTTCCCTAAAAAGTTTTAGAGAGTAAACTAGTTTTTACTACTTGTTAGGTTGGATTTGATGCCTTCAGCCTCAGGCATGCTGCAAGTTGGCGCAATGTGATGGACTGGTTCCACAGAGAAGTTACAGCCATTGAAAATGAGGCTAGACACTTTATTGATGACTCATTCAAGACCTTGAGATCTGCTGAGGGAGCTTTTGACATGCTTTTGAATTTCAGACACATTCGTTCACGTGAAGCTATCAACTCACAAATGATGAAAAAGTTCAATGACATCTTGCTGCAGTTTGGAAAAGAGGTATATAAGTGCGTAAACACATATAAGAGGTTGCTTAAAACATATTGATATGAGATAAGGATAAGTTCTACCCTTTAATGTAAGATCTTTTCTTTGATTTTTGCTTAAAATGTACAGGGATTATCATTAACTAATTAGACTCTGGATCAAGTTGCCTAGATTCAAATCCTTGTTGGAGTTTCAGTAGCCACAACTAACTGCCATTGTGATAGGATTAGTCATTAAATTGACCCAGTGAGTATGCTTGAGATTTGTGTTATCTAATCTAAGGTGGATGCAATGTATGCACTGTTCAAAGCCAATGCAGACAAGCCTCCAATCTTCAAGAATCAGCCTCCTGTGGCTGGAGCCATCAGTTGGGAACGTTCCCTCTTCCTTCGCATAAAGCACACCATCCTGAGATTTCAAGAAATGGAGGACATGCTGAATTCAGAGCAGGGAAAATTCGTAAGTCTTAATTGGCAATGAGTTACAAAGGCTTTTGACAAATTTTTTGAAGGCAAAGTGTGCCATCGCATTGTGGGAGACTCCTTGATGGACTGATTAGGGCACTGGACCCTGGATGGAAAGGTCCGGGGTCATGTCCAGGATGGGTCATTGTGTTGTGTTCTTGGGCTTAACACTTAACTTTTACCTCCCATGAGTGACCCAGATAGAGATTCGCCATACAATATCAAGACATTATGAAGCCGAGACATGACAAGAATGAAGAAAAAATTATATAAATTAGGGGTTATTAATACCCAATTCTCAGAACTATCATCATAAGAATTGTATAGAGATTTTGATTTGAGACGAGATTTTGGGAGTGAAATGGGTAACCGATTGACGTCCAGTGTGCCCGTAAGCGCCCATGTGGACCCACACCCTTTCTATGCCTTGTGACATCATCACTTTTAACCCTGGAGCATGACTTTGAGCACGTACTTGAACAGGTTAAAAATATCTTACAAACGATACCAGAATGAGCACAATTGAGTAAAGGAGATTGGAGAAATGGCCAAAAAACCATGTAACTTTGACCTGAAAATCTGCACGAAACTCTTGTTCCATCACCCACCTACCTTTCTGAGCATGTGGTTTGAAAATAATGAGTATAATTTCCTAAAAAATCTCTACACCAAAATGAAGCCTACTAAATTTCCAGCAAGTGAGGAGAAACTAAGGAAAGGGGAAAAAAAGGGCAGGAGAAAGAGAGAAAAGTAAAAGTCGTAAGTGGGACATTACTTTTCAATCCAAAAACTATCTCGAAATTTTGCTTTTTGCATGCGCCCGAGATTTTCAGGCCTCCATTTTGCATTTGGATCGAAAGGCCGATGAGTGTACAAGCTGTCAGTGGGTTTGTGGTATTTAAGTTTGAGCTTTTAAAACCACCACAGTGACCTGAAATCTGTTCGACTAGCTTCAAAATGCAGTTTTTCACAAAAGCTGTGGCTATTAATGGGTTAACTTTTATAATGTCTTTCTCCACTCAAAAGTGCAAATGGGCATCAGAAATCATTGGGGAACCCAAAAGAAAGCTGGGACAGGTTAAGGTGGGAACCCTGTACTGAAGTGGCATCCCATCTAGGGTGGGTGGGGAACAGCAGTGCTTCCAGTCGCTTCACACTTACTGAAACTGGGTTGAGTTGTGGCAGGATGGACATACTGGCTTGTAAGCTGGCTCAAGTGTGCTAGCAGTGATATTTGCCATCTGGTTGCTGACCCATCTGTAAAATAAATGTCTGTTCAGAAAGTCCCTGTTAATTGAACACTTTTTCCCTGATATCATAAAAATACAGTGCAAGAATCTGATCATTCATTATTCCAATCAACTTTAGTCATTTAGCAGTGGTCATTTGCAGAGTTTTAAACTATGAATTGTTCACTGTCTTGTTCCTTCGTATTTCCAGGCAAGCAAAAAGTATCTTAGTGTGGCACGGCAGATGAAAGAATATGAAGACAAAAAATACGAAGCATGGAAAGAGCAGGTTGAAGCAAATCTATTGATCTACCTCAAGAAAAATCTGTTGATCAAACCATCAGCAAGCTCTGCAACCACACACAGAAGTGCTGTTGATGAAGGAAATTCTGAGGATGCATCTGGAACCTTAGCTGCTGTTTTGCAGGCCCAAGCTGGTAACATTGGTGTTCATTTTTTTTCATTTTGTTTTGCTGCTGTAGGTGTATAAATCAGTTCTGGCATGTGCTCTCGTACAGTATGGGTGCCACTAGTTACTCTTTCAAAGGTAAAAGTCTTCAAGTGTGTAATGATTTCTCAAGGATCTCTGGATCCAAAATTTACATTTCTCTAATTTTGATACATTATATAGTGCCAATACCAAGGTTACAACTAGTCTCTGATGCTAGAAGATGATGCTGATCCCTTTTTTAAATTATATTTTAAACCATTCTATTAATTTTTTCATTTTTCTAAAAATGTTTGAATTTTAATGTTTATATTCAAAAGGAGTAAGAATAATGGTTGGACTAGCATGACAGCAAAATGAATCGTGAAATACATATTACTTGCAAATATTACAAATGAAAATAAACTTGTGGACTCTCTTTAAACATCATTTTGCTAGGTGAAGCAAAACCCATGTAATCTGCAAGTGGTTTTTATGCTTACTTGAAAATTGGCTTTCTCATTTTCAATTATGTATAGATGCATGTAGACATTGAATTGTGAATTTTGTACAGTTGAATTGTGAATTTTGGCAAGTTCTGAGTTTGTTGTTGGTGTCTATTTCAGCCTCTCATTCCAACTTACAGTATGTAGCAGATTTTGCACCAGAGTTAGGATTGATTGTTATGGAGACAAAATACTTAGAGCAGCTAGGATTCCAGGTTCCTGAGCTGGCCAGAAATGTTGCTTTGCAGGTATTTTCTCGAATAATGTCACTGAACTCTTTTTAAAATGAGTATGCATGAACACACTGAGATGTGATGTTTCCTATACAATCATGTATAATAATAAATTTTGTGATGATCACAACAACATCCCTATAATTAGTAGTCTCTGCTGGTGTCTATTACAAGTGGTCTATGAGTCCCACTTATAAGCCTCTGTCCTAAACTTTAAGTTTCTAATAATCCCCAAGTTTTGATAAGCTCTTTCTCCACTAAGCCCCCTCTCTAAAAAGTCCTTCATATCTAAGCCC